CCTATAATGCTAGCCTAAGGACACATTTTGTGAGCGCAACTGTCCACCCACACTCCAGAGCTGGCCATGTGATGTGAGATAAAAGTGTGTCGTGTTCTCCTGCCTCTCCTGCTAAACCCCAGGAACATACAATTTCTGCTCATTTTCTCATAACAACCACATCTAAAACTGAGCAAAGAATTTATATCATTTAGTATGGCGACTAATTTTAGCAACTACGGATATTAATAATCGCCATTACACAAATCAATCTTTGGTTGCATATAGTATTAATTAGTTTCTTTAAGATATATTGTTTGAGCAACAAAATTCATGCAGTGTATATCTTAACAAAGCTTGCTCTGAGGTAAGTGAATAAGAAGGCTTGTCAATCATAGCAGGGACATGCAGCAACCACTGCAAGTTCAAACTAAACTGTATCTGTTACACAGTCACCTTAACATATAATGCTACTGAACTTTCACTGGGGATTAAATTCTATCTGACAACAACCACCTCTGATCTCTGTTCCTCTCGCATCAAATCTTACTTTTCTGAAAAAGGGTCACCTCTCTGGGTGAGCGCAACAGAGCACATTTCATTCAAAGGCCCATGCAATTTACAACAATAATTCTGGGTCATTTCACAAATCCTTTTCAGTAGAATGTCTCATTTAAAGTCAGCGTGCATCCTGATATAGATGCTAGACCATATTTTGCTGTATAGTGCAAGGCATATGAGAGTTCAGCTGGCACTGGCCAAAACATTCCTCTAACAGACCACACAAGCTAACCACTGTATGCTGCTCAAAGGCTACAACAGGAGCTACAAAGAGCCCAAAGAAGGAAAAGTAACAGTGGCATGGAATATAACACTAGTGTGAAAGATAAAGATCAGATAAGCATCAGAAAATAGAGCAGAAATGAAGACAGCCATTATAATGACAAATGAAGACTTCATGACAAGACTTACAGAGTTGAGAGTTAAAGTTTCCTCCATGTATGGCGCTGTGTGCGTGTGTTTGGCTCGTTTTCAGCGCTGCTCCACACGCCTGGTGTGTCTAAACGAGTCCATCCGCTAGAGCTCCGTGGTGCGTGTGCGAGTCAGTGTTTGCAGGGCAGAGAGGCAGAGCTCAACAAGGAGGAGGGGGGGAGCATGCTGGAGAACCGAAAATCCTGAGAGCTACTGGGAATTCAAAAGCTCCCTCTCCTCCTCTGCTGCCGGCTCCTATCTCTCCCTCCCTCTTTCTGTCTTTGCTGTAAATTTCTCCTTTCTCTCTGTTTACCTCCCTCCCCGTCCGTGGGTCTTCATGCCTTCTCTTTCTTTCTGCTACGCCTACAGGATAGATCTATTACCCACAGGTGCGCAAACAAGAGCTGCTAATGTCTCCACACCTAAAAGGAGAGGAGAAACTTCACACTCATGGAGCAAAGGAGATGCGCCAAATTCCCAGCAGGCACCTTGAATATGACTGAATAAAACAGAGTGCATTAACTAATGACTCACACTAACAGATGTTCCACATGCCGCAACACCTCAGAAGGCAGAGTCAGTGTGAACACAGGCACAGCAGCCAGCTAATGGTGTCATCTCTGCAAAGTTGAACACACTGTCAATCGCTGAGCATCGCGGGCACAAAGCATCTGTTTGGAGCCAGAAACAATGAGTCTGTGATGAAATCAGCTAATAATGGTAGAGCAGTGGGATGTGGGGGCATTTTCAGTAGGGCCCTGACAAGCTCTGCATGGAAATAAGACAAGGAGGTACAAAGCAGCACATTCTTTGACATGTCTAAACATCGTACGATCAAACAACTGCATAGCATGCATCACTCTTCATCACAATATGCAGGGAAACGAATCGCTACCCACATAAACAATGAATTATAAAGCAGTTTCGCCAAAGAACTAGAAAGGCACATGTCAAAATATGTTGCAGTATATGTGCTATTGTGGCTTGGGGCATGGGGTGCAAAAGCTACATGTCAGAGCCTTTGTAATGTGAACAAGCATTTGCTCATTCCTGTGCTAGCCACTGTGACGCACATCACCGACCATGGAAAAAGCAACACAGCCGCACGCGTCCAACTTGTTCTGGACTCATCCACAACATGCAGCGAGGCCACATGAAAGGGTTATCCACAAGGGTCTGCCCTGACTGCTGATGGTGAACTCCAAAATAGTCTCATGGTGTCCTTGTGAGTCCAGATGCATGCACTGACTGAGAGCTTATCACATATTTTTGCAAAACGTGCCATGAGAACAGTCCTTCAGAACATAATTCACAACAATATACAAGTTTGAAAGTCCTGCAGAAACCAAACACTTCAGCACCTCAAGTCTGTGCTCGTACTCCTTCTGCACTCCACACTAAATATATAAAAGCAAGGAGTCATTTAAGGCCAACAGTTCTGTGTGACAGGTTGAGTCTTCATTATATGTATTCTCTCTAAAGTGAAGCATAGCCCTCAGAAAGAAAAAAGTTCTCATGATCTAATTTCTAGCCTCTGTCTGTCTTCTAATGAACAAGCTCTTCATAGAGGCATAATTAAAATGGGGACTTTATCTAACAAATACACAAATCTCTTGTTAAGTGGAACTACCAAACCTTGCGTGTGTAAGTCTTTATAAGGACATAACTTGGTAATACTATTTGATGGATTTTGGTTTGCTGTGAGAGGGGGTTTTAGAAGTGCACAATCTGATCTCTGACCATGAACCCAGGGTGAAGGTCAGTCTTTGAAATGAGAGCCCTGGGGCAAGGACCAGTTGAGTATCTAATTGCCTTTGTCAACTATAAAACATTCCTATTCCTACCTAGAATGTATAGACCAGTTAATGACTTTGGTCTGAACAGTTAGATTTGGTCTGAGGCTGTCAACACGGTTTCGTTCAAAGCAAATAGCAGACATGTTTGTTCACACAGCGAATTTATTCTACTGCATGAATGTAAATGTAATCCTATTAGTGCTTTAATAAAATCCTACTATTAAACATTTTTGTTTATCAATAAAATGTTATGTAACCCTAGAACACAGCGATATTCCTTTACTAAAAAACATTATTCCAGTTTGCTGAATGCAGATTTTTGAAACCAGCTATAAGGAGAGAGAAAGGGAAGTTTAAAGCAGGTGGCTAAATGGAATTAAACAGACAAGTCTCCATAACATATGCCTAAGTGATGTTAGTACCCAGAGGTTAGTTGGGAAGACTGAAGGGGTACAAAACCTAATAAGAACAGTGAGAATCCAGTCTGTCACAGCTATCCTAAAGTTCTAGGTATCGAGCCTTGCTACTTTCTGCTGTCATGTAATTGTTGCTTTTAATATTTTAATCTAATTTGCATTCTAATATTTTATCTGTGTACTTATTTTAATGCTTTACCTACTTGTGTCTGCATTGTGTAAAGCACTCTGAATTGTGTTTATTTATGAAAATGTGCTGCATAAATAAACTTGCCTTGCTTTACCTAACAATGAAAGGCCACATTCATAAATCAGTAATTCTGGCACCATAATCAAAGTCCTGTTTGTGTCCTATAATGACAAAACTGTCATTATAGGACAACCACATTCCGTTTTCAATAATACATAAATGCCGAACCAAACCAGCTGTTTAACACCGGTCTTTTAGCCATTTATACTCCAGCCAACATGCCACAGCTTGATTATGTACAGAAATCATACTACCCATAATTCTTGAATACGTTTTTGTGACATTACCGGCACTATCACCATATTAGACCAGCCCGAGCTTGTCTCTCCCTGCTGGTGTCAGAGCTGGCTCCTGATAGAGGCGTGAAGTCTTTATTACAGGTGTGTTCAACATTGTGTAACTCGAGGTGTAAGACGGAAAACACACTGCTACAAGTGTGAAAGCATCCAGCTCTAGTTCTAGCGGCTGTTATTTTTTCCCAAGACAAATAGTATCATCTAAGAAGTGCAAAATATACAACTGATTACAGCAATGTGAAGCTTCTAGTTGTACACATTTTAAAGAGAGCAAGAATATCTAATAACAAGACTTGTAAAGGGGATGATGTCAAACTCAGAAGCTATTTTACTGATAGAAAAAAACTAATAATGAATTGATCAGAACAAAGCAACCTATATAGTTTCTTACAATATTAACACACAGTAAGGATTAAGGGTGAGTGGTATTAGCATTTGCAGAACCTTTGGTTGAGAATATGAACATACTGTGGACTAGTGATTACAGAAAATGAACAATGAAAGACAGCATAAAAGTTGCAGCATACAAGCAGAAACTCTGCAGCTGTTATAACCTGTGTGTATGTCTGGCACCGACTGGCTCAGAACCTGGAGCTGTTTAACAGTGGCACTTTTAGTGTGTGTTGAGACAATCCTGAGGAGGAGATCTGAGGTGTGCCTCTGTGAGTACAGCATGTGGTCTGCCGGTCTGTCTGCTTGTGCCTGTGACTAATGTGTGAATACACAGTGCAGTATACCACTTTTTAGTTTGTTTTTGTGTCTTGTGATGTGTTGTTTAGAGTGAATTATCAGATGCAGGAATAGTCTGTGTGTGTTTATGAATATGAATCACTGTGCATGAACAATGCATGCATGTATAGACCACTGGAGAAAAGCACAGTCCTACAGCAGTGCTCATTAGCGGAGCCAAACAAGCAGGACTATGCCTCTGGTCCATACAAAGACCACTCTGTGAGCAACCCTTTGCCACAAGTGTACCAGAAAATGCAGAGGTCAAGGCATTGGAAATGAAAGGTTAAAAAGAGCAGAAAATGGTGCAGATTGAAAAAGGGGGATGGTCATCAACATGAAAACATTACATGCAATTTAAAGTGTTGAGGATTTTCCCAGTGGAAATAAAAAAAAAAAATTGCAATGGTTTATCGTTTTGAAACACCTTTGCTGAAGAATAACGATGGCAAAAATGGTTGAATAAATATGTGAATGCTCCGAATTTACATAAGATGCAAAAAGTCATAGATATTCAACAATTACAAAAGCCAGAAAAAAAGTAGAAGAACATGGTGCCTACCTCAAGGTCATCCAGTGATCGTGCCAGGCTGAGACGTTTGGCAGAACGGCGCTTAGAAGAACGGACAATACCCATACCCCAAAACCTGGAGCCCTATCAAAATACAGGAGACACAGGTAAACATCGGGTGTGAAGTGAGATGTGAGTTTATGGTAAATCAGTTGAAAAAGATCTGAAAATGCCAGCACTGCTATTAGTTTTGACAGATCTCTCTACTATAGCTGTGGCATTTCTAGATAAAAGGGGTCATTATGCACAGTCCTCTCTGACAACATGCACAATGGTCACATAAAGTTAACCTGGATTATAAGCCAGTACTAAGCACTAATGTTACAGTTTGTGAAAGGCTACCATAAGAGATCAGATAGAACCTGCATGGTTTTATCATTTCAGAAATCCTAATGCAGTTTAACCAACCAACATCAGAGAAGCTGTGTATAATGTTTGTTTAAGAAGTGCAGATACTGCTGCATGACATGGGCTCTACCCTGTAATTAGTCTGGCTTCCTGTGCAAGATAGTTTTGCTTCTAATCTAATGGAAGAAGCTGGGGGATAGATACACAGTCCAAATCTGATTTATGAACAGGAAAATAACTGGCTTGAATAAATAAGGTTGACAACACTAGCTAATTATTTATAAGGAAGCTCAAACTATAGAGTTTGATACTTAACTTCTTGCCATGCCATTTACAAAAACATAGTTATAGACATGCCGATTAAATGGAGCTATAGCTGACAGAAAGAAAGAAATTCACACAACCCTGTTCTCCTGAGAGAGGCTCATTTCCAGGACTGTATGGATACACAGGGACATCTTGTGGGCAATGATGACAGCACACACACACACACACACACACACACACACACAAATGTCTGGGCTCAACTCCCACTCAACACCAATTGCCAGTTGAAATACTGGTACTGTATTTCATTTTAGGTGCCACCAAAAACAGACCTACTACCACCCCCTCAATATCTGGAAACTCATTTCCCTGTGACTTTTTAATACATCCTGTGTTGCTGTGTTTAACATGAATAAGTACAGAAACAGATGCGCTTGTCTCAGTATGACCATAAAACAATAAACTATTTAAAGGCATTTTGAGGTGAGATGTCTCATTAACACACAGCTGATAAATTATATATAATTATGGGCAAAAAACAAGCTCCAACAATTTTATTTAAAATGCTAGAATATTGAGAAAAAATTAAATCACGGTATGACAAATAAGCTGATGTTCATTTTCTCAGAATTTCCTCCATTTTTTTTTCTTTTTGGATATCTTCTACCTCTTTAAGTCTCTCAAAATAAAATGAAGAACAGCATTTTGTCTTTGGTTGAAAATATATCACATCCAGTAAACATATGCAACAGGTAATGAAGCGAATGTTTGTGAATGTTGGTCCTGGTTTAACAAGACACATTTGTGCAGATGATACATCCGTCACTATAAATAACAATACAATCGAAAGGAAAAAGTTGAAAAGGAAATTATAGAGATAGTGAACAAATGTGGTAATAAAACATCTAGTGATAGTGATGGTATCACTATGACAATGGTTAAATGGGTAATCGAGGGGATATGTAAACCATTAACCCATGTTTTTAACATGTCGTTTCGACTTGGGCAGTTCCCCAAAAATATGAAAATAGCAAAGGTTATTCCTTTGTATAAATCTGGTGATAAGCACAACTTCACAAATTATAGACCGGTTT